ATGGATGTAAAAAAATAAAAAAAAATGGTTTGGTGTCGCAAAGGTGACTGTGGAATGTAGTGTAGAGATTTGGACTGTGGAGGAAGAAAAGGTTCACTTCAGGGACAATAGGATGGTAGAAGAGAGTCATTGTGGGTAGAAAGTACCCCAAATTTTCTGGTGTCACAGAGGTGCCCTTGGGAGAGGTGTAGAGTAGAGGTGGGGCGTGTATTGTCCACCTTACCATGTAGTCTCCATCTGGTGTTGCAGAGGCACCCTTGAGAGAGTAGTATAGAGGTGAGAAGGACCATGTAGGGAGACAAATCCCAACCCCTCTTGTCATGATAAAGGAATATTCTTTTGGTTGATTGATAACTCATTGGTGTTATAAATCAATCAATCAATTATTTCTACATCAATTCACAACAATATTTGATATGGCTGCATAGTCCACCTCACCTCTACACTACTCTCCCATGGTGCAAAATTTTGCAACACCAGATGGACCCTACATGGTAAGTTGGACCCTGCACAGCCCACCTCACCACTAGACTGCATGGTCCACCTCACCTCTACACCTCTCCCAAGGGTGCCTCTGTGACACCTGACATTTTTGGGTTCTTTCTAACCATGCTGACTCCATTCTACCATCCTGATGTCTCTAGGATTTGGCCCCAATCATTGAGTGTGACCATCTCTACACCTTCATGGAGACATATTCTTCACTAGCGCTGACCACGCGATTATTTCTTTGGTCTTTTGCAACCTCAACAGATGTAAATCATCCGCTTCTTATACCTTCATGTTTTCTCTTTCAAACAATCCCATACTCTGTACTAATGGATCCTTCACTATAAGGATTTTCCCGCCTCCCCTCTGTTCTCCCGTGGATACCCATGAGAGCAGGTCCTTCTCTGTTCCACAGCTCGGAAGGCCAAGTTTTAGAACTGGTATCGCGCTCTTTCGATCTATCATTTTTTTTAGGCCTATGTTATGTGATTGATGTTTTTACTCACTTAAGTAGAATTTTGGTAACTTTGTTTTAATGTTAAAGTGACATTAAACCCTCAGATTTTGTAACATAAAACAATAGTGTAATGTGTGCCTTACTGTAATCCATGGTTGTTTCCCTTCTCTTTGCTGCTCTTCCTTTTAAATCTGTATATGTTCTCATGCTGGGCAAAACTTCTGTTTTGCAGCAGACTGCCTTGTCTCAGGAATGGATACACGGTGTCTGTGTATACGTTTCTATAGGCTTGAAACCTGAGCTAGCACTACAGGAAGAGGCCCTGAGCTGAAAAGGGAAGTTCTCCCCCAGCATGAGAAGACATGAGGATTTAAAAGGAAGAGCAGCAAAGAGAAGGGAAACTACCATGTATTACAGTAAGGCGCACATTACAGTATTGGTTTATGTAAAAAAATCTGAGGGTTTAATGTCACTTTAACATTATGCAAAAAAGAAAGAATCTTCGATCTGTGAACTGAAAGCCGATCCGATTATTTATCTTAGGAGGGTTTCTGCTTCTATATTTGTTGTATGTTATTATGTTTTTATTATTTTGTTTCACGTTTACTTCCCTGCAGTAATATTGTTACAATTCATGAAACAAATGTTCATCTAATGTAAGGGAATTGGTTATTTATTTGACGAGATTCAGGACCGTACAAAATGTTTTAATTGTCTTTTTTTTGCAGATTGTGTCCCCCTGCACGCCGCGCGTCAACTACGAACTGGTGAGAATAAGTTTGAAGATTATTACACTTACTATAGTTTATTGTATGTAAATGAGAGTTCTTTTTTGTCACCTTCCTCTTTATCAAGCTTCTTATCTTTTAAAAACAGGAATAAAAACTGTTATATGTATCCCCCCCTCTCCCCCCACACACACACACCCACACCCTGCAGTACAGCACACAGGGAGTAGGAGGGGCAGTAGTGTAAGCCAATCCGATTCTGCTACATTGCACAGTGCTGTCCATCTAACACAAACAGGAGGAGGAGAAAGCAGAGTGATAATTTCCTCTTTGTGATGTTGCTCCTTGATTATCCAATCACAGACTGGAGGTGTGTCCTAGACCAGGTTGTATAGCTTAGTTGTTGTGTAGTATGCAGAGAGGTCAAGGCCACTGCAGCACCCAGCTCTGCAGTATGGAAGGTTTACCTGGATGATGAGGCTGGCTTAAGAGAATTACAAGCGCCACCGCATTTTAGGCTGCAAGGTGAACAGCAGCACTGAGATGTAGCAAAGGATGAAAAAAAACCCCGGAGAAAACAATATTTTAATGATATTTATGATTAAAATGTTTTATAATAGTTATAATGATTCAAAATGTTAATCATGTGGCAGTTGTTTTTGATGCACGGTGCTTTAGCAAGCGAAATGTGATCCAGTTAGGGCTTTCATTGTCTTTAGCAGAACCAAAATTATGCTTTAGGGGCCTTTTATACCAACACGTCGGGACAATGCAGGTAATATAGTACACCTGCTGCTCTGCCTTAGACCCCATTCACACTGAGATACATAACAAAAAACGCTTTTTCAGCGCTGATTTGAGCCGAGCGACTTTGAGAGACATTGAGCTACAGTGCGCATATTGTCACGCTACGTAGCGCTATTTTTGGCATGGACTTTGTAGCTGCTACATTGGGCTGTATCCAATAAAAAAAACTAGGGTTGCACAGATACTTTTTGAGTACCAGTGCAGATACTTGGCATTTTCATGAGAATTACCAGGGTTGCAGCTGGGACCTGGCTCTGGCGCTCCACCACTGTCCTGAAATCATTAGTCTGTATTGTTTTAGAAAAACTGTCACATGACAATAAACAAAAATGTATCAGTACTCATACTTGTAAGTACTCGGCAAGTACCAGTACTCGTACTCGCAAAACTGGTATCTGTGCATTAATTTATTTATATGTATAAAAATAAAATCGTACATTAAAACAGAGATGTACAAATCGCAGGAGCTCCGTGTGCTCCTTACACATGACAGCGGCCTCCTAACTTTTGAATTTTTCTCTAGTCTAGTCTTGGAGCTCAAAAGTATCGGTACTTGTACTCGTACTTGTACCGAGTACTGTACTTGGTATCTGTGCAACCCTAAAAAAAACGGTCTTGAAGTAACATAATTCCTCTTCCTGTTCCCTGCTTATATTTCTGTGCAAAAGTGACACTTCTGTAGCGCGACAATGTTGCGCAAAATCGTGCGTCATTGAGCTACACCATTGAAGTCTATTGGGCCAAATTGCAAGAAATCCGCCGAAAAATAGGTCATGTACAAGCGACGAGCTACGGGCGACATTGAGCTGTGGGATGTGAACAACTCCATTGAAATGCATTGGACGAGCTACATTGAGCGACATTGGGTTGATGTTTGAGCGATGTGTGAGCTGAAATCGCGCTACAAATCGCACATTGTGAATGGGGTCTTAGGCCCCGTTCACACTGAGCGGTTTATCGTGTGATTTGCGCTCATAAATCGCGCATATTTCCGCGCGATATCGCTCTATGTAGCTTGTCCAATGCATTCCAATGGAGCTGTTCACATCTCAATGTCGCCTGTAGCTCGTCGCTCAAGCTTGTCGCTCGTACATGACCCTTTTTTCGGCGGATGTCGCGTGATTCGACCCCAATAGACTCAATGGTGTTGCGCGAAATCGCGCATTAACGGAGATATCACGCGACTTGGCCGCGTGATATCACGCGACAGAAGGGTTACTTTTGCACTGCAAAATGTAAGGAAAGAATGATGTCACATCAAGATCGCTGTTGATTGGTTACAGCCCAATGTAGCAGCGACGAAGTCCCGCCCAAAAAAACGCACTATAAAATGTGCACTGTCGCTCAATATCGCGCAATGTAGCTCAAAGCCATTCAGCACGAAATCGCGCAGAAAAACGCGCGATACCCATGTCGCTCAGTGTGAATGGGGTCTTAGGGTCATGTCCAGCTTTCGGCACGTTGGGGTGCATTGGCAGCCCATTCATTCTAATGGCCACTTTAACGCAATGCTTGTACACGCAAAAGTAAATGGGCCCTCAATGATCTTTCCTCTACCAACCAGCGTGGCTGTATCCGAGGCCGGAGATTAAAGCGCCGTAGGCCCAGTGTCGCAGCTTTTTTTCCCCTGAAAAGTCGACAGGCCTCTGCTCTCACTCACTCCCCACTTATCATACAAAAGAAAACATTTCTACATCGCTTTGATTCATGAGTCCTAGACGTCTTATACTGAACCCTACGGACTAAGACTGGGATGCTATTAAAGTTCATGTGCGTGTAAAGGCCGCGTCCCAATACTTTTGGCAATATAGTGTGTATGTTTATATATATATAATACTGTATAAATGTTGTACAATATCATCTTCCTATTGCCGGCCCTCTTGTCTGTCTCGCGGTTTCTGTGTCTATTTGGCGCTTTGATCCCGAAGTCTTCTCCAACCACAACACGCTCCGGTCAGTCCTCTCCCTCTGCTCCCCCAGGGTTCCAATAATTGTTTCCAAATCACTCGCCGGCCCGGCTTTCATCTCCGAGACGGGCCCGTCGTTCTCTTTGACCGCAGCAGCAGGCATCCCCCCCGATACGGTCTTGGCACCGGGGATGAAATGTATTTGGGGAGGCAGCCTGCCAGGCGAGAGGCTTATTTTAATATCTTTGTGGTTGCCGTCAGAAAATAAATGGAGGGATGGTAAGTAAGAGGCTTGGGAGGGGCCGAGGCAAAGCAGGCAAATCTCCCCAGGAAGATCAAAAACGTCCCGTCCCCCCGGGGGGTGCCAAGTGTTTATCCCGCCGCCGAGAGTTTGGGTTTCCTCTGTACTCGGAGATCGTCAGATAACTCTGAAGTTTAGTCAAATACAAAACAAGGTCTGAGTTCATTAGCTGAGGCTCAAATTCGGACCGCTCAAGCGAGACAATAAAATACCAGTCAAGACAATGAGGGTTTTTTTGTTTTTTTTGGATTGATTTGTTTCATTTTTTTTGTAATGTTTGTCTTCAATCTGAGCTCCGGCCTTCCCTTCAGTCTTCTATCTGAGCTCCGGCCTTCCCTTCAGTCTTCAATCTGAGCTCCGGCCTTCCCTTCAGTCTTCAATCTGAGCTCCGGCCTTCCCTTCAGTCTTCAATCTGAGCTCCGGCCTTCCCTTCAGTCTTCAATCTGAGCTCCGGCCTTCCCTTCAGTCTTCAATCTGAGCTCCGGCCTTCCCTTCAGTCTTCAATCTGAGCTCCGGCCTTCCCTTCAGTCTTCAATCTGAGCTCCGGCCTTCCCTTCAGTCTTCAATCTGAGCTCCGGCCTTCCCTTCAGTCTTCAATCTGAGCTCCGGCCTTCCCTTCAGTCTTCAATCTGAGCTCCGGCCTTCCCTTCAGTCTTCAATCTGAGCTCCGGCCTTCCCTTCAGTCTTCAATCTGAGCTCCGGCCTTCCCTTCAGTCTTCAATCTGAGCTCCGGCCTTCCCTTCAGTCTTCAATCTGAGCTCCGGCCTTCCCTTCAGTCTTCAATCTGAGCTCCGGCCTTCCCTTCAGTCTTCAATCTGAGCTCCGGCCTTCCCTTCAGTCTTCAATCTGAGCTCCGGCCTTCCCTTCAGTCTTCAATCTGAGCTCCGGCCTTCCCTTCAGTCTTCAATCTGAGCTCCGGCCTTCCCTTCAGTCTTCAATCTGAGCTCCGGCCTTCCCTTCAGTCTTCAATCTGAGCTCCGGCCTTCCCTTCAGTCTTCAATCTGAGCTCCGGCCTTCCCTTCAGTCTTCAATCTGAGCTCCGGCCTTCCCTTCAGTCTTCAATCTGAGCTCCGGCCTTCCCTTCAGTCTTCAATCTGAGCTCCGGCCTTCCCTTCAGTCTTCAATCTGAGCTCCGGCCTTCCCTTCAGTCTTCAATCTGAGCTCCGGCCTTCCCTTCAGTCTTCAATCTGAGCTCCGGCCTTCCCTTCAGTCTTCAATCTGAGCTCCGGCCTTCCCTTCAGTCTTCAATCTGAGCTCCGGCCTTCCCTTCAGTCTTCAATCTGAGCTCCGGCCTTCCCTTCAGTCTTCAATCTGAGCTCCGGCCTTCCCTTCAGTCTTCAATCTGAGCTCCGGCCTTCCCTTCAGTCTTCAATCTGAGCTCCGGCCTTCCCTTCAGTCTTCAATCTGAGCTCCGGCCTTCCCTTCAGTCTTCAATCTGAGCTCCGGCCTTCCCTTCAGTCTTCAATCTGAGCTCCGGCCTTCCCTTCAGTCTTCAATCTGAGCTCCGGCCTTCCCTTCAGTCTTCAATCTGAGCTCCGGCCTTCCCTTCAGTCTTCAATCTGAGCTCCGGCCTTCCCTTCAGTCTTCAATCTGAGCTCCGGCCTTCCCTTCAGTCTTCAATCTGAGCTCCGGCCTTCCCTTCAGTCTTCAATCTGAGCTCCGGCCTTCCCTTCAGTCTTCTATATGACCTCCGTGCTTCCCTTCAGTCTTCTATCTGAGCTCCGGCCTTCCCTTCAGTCTTCTATCTGACCTCCGTCCTTCCCTTCAGTCTTCTATCTGACCTCCGTCCTTCCCTTCAGTCTTCTATCTGACCTCCGTCCTCCCCTTCAGTCTTCTATCTGAGCTCCGTCCTTCCATTCAGTCTTCTATCTGAGCTCCAGCCTTCCCTTCAGTCTTCAATCTGAGCTCCGGCCTTCCCTTCAGTCTTCAATCTGAGCTCTGGCCTTCCCTTCAGTCTTCAATCTGACCTCCGGCCTTCCCTTCAGTCTTCAATCTGACCTCCGGCCTTCCCTTCAGTCTTCAAT